CAGTATCACTACGGAAGTAGATTGCCCCATCTTCCTTCTGAGGAGTGGCTGGTGGGTTTGAACTGCCAGCCTTCTGGTTAGCAGTCAAGTGCCTTACTACGCTACCAGAGCTCCTAGTGATCCATAGTGATACTACCTTGGGAATCCAAGGAGGGGTCGCTATGAGTTGGAGATGACTTGACAGCACATAACAACAACAAAGGATCAGTAATTTGAAGTCTGAGGGCCTCTTGAGGGAATCTTTGTGTTTTGCTAAATCTTGTAGAACAATATACCATGAAGCTAGCTACAGTAGATAGTGATAACAAAAATGTCATGGTCTCACATCCCATGTGGGTTTATAGATCTAATTCAATACAACATGTGCAGGCCTGATTAAGGGACAAGTCACACCTTTTAGACACAGGAACTGTTGTATCTACCACTGGGTAAAGCTTCTGGGTACCCACTGCTGTCTAGTGGATTCCAACTCTTAGTGACCCTATAGCCACTGAATTAAACAAATGGTATGGTAATCCAAGGTGAATGGTAAGGTTAGGGCCCTCAGACAGAAACCAGCTGGAGATGGTACACCATGAACATGGAAGAAATCTCAATTTGAATAAACAAAAACCAGGACAGACTCAATTCTGGTATGTGAAACTGCCAGAATACCAAAACAAGTTCTTCGTAGACTTCACAAAATTCATTTGTCCAGTAGGAGTATATTTTCCCCATATAACATACCCATGTAAATAATGTGCACATGCATACAAAACATAGTACACATATGAAAGCAATGCAACAGGGTTTTGTGGTTTGCAAAAACTGTATTAACATGTTATTTGCATTACAGGTAAATAAATCTCAACTGATGAATTTTTATGCAAGCCCCAACTGGGAGCTTAACTGGGAAATAGTATAGTTAAATGCCATTATTTTCTTTATAATAAGCTTTGGTGGTGTAATGGGTAAGGCGTTTGGCTGCTAACCAAAAGGTCAGTGGTTCAAACCCACCAGCTGCTTCATAGAAGAAAACTGAGGTGCTCTGCTTCTGTAAAGATTTATAGCCTTGTAAACCCAATGGGGTAGCTATGTGACAGTCACCATTCCAATTTCAGCATACAGAGAATCTGACTGAAATTGTGCATTCTGAGGAATGCCACTAAATTGGCTCCCAGGAAAAATACTTAATATTTATAAGTAGTTTTCACGTTTTCTCTAGGGTATAGATTCAAACTTTCACTTTAACATTGGTTAGGAACATTTCCTTAGTTGCCTGGTTGTATATTTTAAGACAGATCTATTGGCACTTGGGGAGACTTAGAACATGAATCAACATTAAAGAAATAACAGCTAAAGTTTTACTTTAATTCCAAATTCACAACTCGAGATGCACTTGCATATCTTAAAAAGCTAGAAAAACATTAAAATTTTTTAACCAATCAGCAAATTTATGTGCCACACTGTATTTTTAATGTTCATAATTTAGAATTTATCACATATAGTATTTACTACTATGCCCTTTACTTGCAAAATTACTATTCTTAAAACGTTTCTTTCCAACACATTTCTATTTTTAAAGAAAAAAATACCACCCCCATTTAAAATGTACTACTAAATTTTTATGTGTAATTATACCAGAATAACCAAATTAAAATAAAAATTAAAAGGGAAAAAAAATATACCACTGTGTTGGATATGGAGGTGTTACAACAGATGACAACGCATGTCCTATATAGTGTACATATGCTCTCATTCCAATTCTCAGTCATTGTCAGAACCATTTGGAGGTAAGAAAACCAATGCATCATTGAAAATATGTCCAAATGCCCTAAGACGGTATACTCCATACATCATCACATGCATCTGATTAGGTGTCAGCCCATTAAAAGTAACAGCCATATCTGAACAACATCCTTCTACTACCTGCTGTGGTTGATTAGTCATTGCCTCTTTAATAAAAAGTCCAACAGATTTGGTATTAAAAACATCTTTTCCTTCAGAATCTTCCGCATTTTCCGCAAATACTCCAGCATATTTCAGGCAGACTGCTAGCTGCTTATCTTCAGATATCTTCCAAATCATCCCTCCCTGTTCAGGACACTTCTCAGGGATACTGAGAAGGCTATTAAGTCTTTTCATGGATTCTATACTTAAGACAATTCCTCCTTCCATACTCACATATTCAAGGTCTCCAGATTTTATAGTGTGACCTAGATAGAAAGGCTGTGATGGATCCTTTTTTAATAAAAAATACTTCAAGTTTTCAATAATAGCAAACGTAGTGGGGCGTGCAAGGAAGAACCAGTTGTATTGGTCTCTATATTTATCAAAAGCATATTTGTAAGCTTTTCTCATCATTATCCATATGTCATCTGTTTCCATATTGATTGATTCAAACACTTTAACATTTTCAGAACTGAAGAACTCTGCTTTGTCACAGTGTTTGGTCCATGTGTCTTTCACTGCAGCCCAAAGACTCACATCTTTGGGTTTTACAAGGATGATACAGTACACTCGAAAGCTCTTACTGAGCTCCATGCGTTCATCCTCTGAAATTTTCAAGATATCTTCTTTGTTAGGAGCTTGTAGGTGATGATGCTCATGGTGGTGCATCCTATTTCCATGACCAATCCTAATGTGGCCTAGCATAGTGATCAAGGCACAGAAAATGCTTCCGAGCATCATACCCTTCAAAAATGAACTGCTTTCAGAAAGCATTTTTCCTATAAAGAAGAAAAAGATCCTTAAAACATTTAAAGGAAAAGGATTAGTCTAGTAATTTGATTTGGTATTCCTCATATACTTACATTTTGCTCTAAACACTGAAAAGGTTCCCAAGTTTGAAATCCAGTTAGTTGTATATAGTACCAATGACCCTAGCAATTTTTAGCTTCCAATGGAATCTGAATACTGTTGGGGGGAACTGGAACTTTGAAGCAGCTCCTCTATGGAGTAGAATTTGCTGTGGGGAGGTTCTTTTTTTGTACTTCATCTGTGGGGATTTAATTAACCAAGTACTACATCAAAGCATTAACCCTAGAAACCAATGTTACACAAGTTGTCCATCTATCATTCTTTTTAAAGGAATTTTGTTTCACAAGCATGCATTGCATTATTTAAATACCTCTGCAGATATAAATGGACTTCCATACCAAAACCTTAAATTTAAAATATAAAGCCAACTACGACTGGCAAATCACCAATGGTATCTGTGTTGACATTTCTGTTCTCAATCTAGTACTTTAACTGCAGCTGCTGACTTAGATGTTTTGAGTATCTCTAAATCAAGTGTCTTGAGATTAATAGCATATATGTTAATATTTATACTTTTGTTCTTAAAACTAAATGGTTTCCAGTACAGTACCCAATACAGTACCTTAACTAACCAGTTTATTACAAGCTCATAATGAGAACAAATTATTTGGATGAGAACTGAGTCAATACAGACATATGTGGGGACCATTAATAAACATTTTATTTCCTGAAAAGGGTTTTTCTTCTTCTTTGGGAAAGTAAAAAAGGAAAACTGTACATTTTTATTTCAGTTAGAATTAAAATAAAAGCCAACATTAAATACAACTTTTGGAAAAAAAAATAGATTCTCCCGGGACCATTAATGTAGTAAAGGCTAGAATTTTCCCAATTATTCCTCCATCTCCACAAAGATTGTTTTACGGAGCTACTTATATTTTCCCTTAGGCTCTTGAAGTTCACAGGGGCCTTGGAAGCTATCTAATGTCTTTTATCTCATTTTACAAATAGGGAAACTGAGGTCCAGAGAGGTTAAGTAACTGACCCAAAGTCACACAGTCTGTCAGTGGCAGAAGCAGAACTAGATGCTAGAATTCCTGACATCACTTTAATGCTTTTTTCATTACATAGCAATCTCCATAGTGCTTTTACCCATAGTATTGAAAATTTAGTAAATGAATCATTTTTTTTCCTACAGATGAAAAAATAAATGGGGCTCTTATGTTAATCTTAACTGACATTTTGTACCCAACATCACCATCTTGCTACAAGGAAGCCACCCCCATGGTTTTCTTCTATAGGCGTATCTCAGAGATATTGCTGGTTCAATTCTGTTGTTGTTATGTGCAGTCGAGTCGGACCCGACTCACAGTGACCCCTCCTTGGGATTCCGAGGCAGTATCACTACGGAAGTAGATTGCCCCATCTTCCTTCTGAGGAGTGGCTGGTGGGTTTTAACCACCAGCCTTCTGGTTAGCAGCCAAGTGCCTCAGGCACTATGCTACCAGAGCTCCCATAATAAAGCAAATATCACAACAAAGTGAGTCACATGAATATTTTGGTATCCTAGTGTGCCAAGGAATCAAGACTGGGCAATCTACTTCCGTAAACATTCATGGCCTTGGAAACTCAACAGGGGTCATTATGAGTCAGAATCGACTCCATGGCAGTGGGTTTGATTTTTAATTTTTTTGGTAGGGCACAAAAAGGCTATGTTTACACTGTATTTGTAAGTGTAATACACTTAGTCTATTACGTGTGCAAGAGCATTATGAAAAAGTTTGAAATACCATGAGAATTACCAAAATGTGGCACACAGACACGAAATGAGAGCATGCTGTAGGAAAATGGTGCCAATGGACTCGCTCAACGCAGAGTTGCCATAAACCCTCAATTTGTTTAAATAAAAAAAAAAAAAAAAAAAACTATATCCACA